TTGTTTCTTTGAAACAGGGTTTCACTACATAGTCCTGACTGTCCTGGAACTCACTATGTAGACCATGGTGGCCTCAAACTTGAAGAGATCCACCTGTTTCTGCCTCCCAAGTGCTGGGATTAAAGGCACCACCACGGCCAGCAAGAGTATTGTTTTCATACCCGTTTTACAAAGAGGAAAACTAAGGCCCAGGGTTAATGGAAAGGTATCAGATAAATCTAGATCAGGGATACTCCAGAAATAGCTGGCTGTTTTGCTTCAGAAGTGCTGATGGATACCTAGGAATTCTTCGAGTGAATGAGTGTCTTAGCTAGAGCTATGGTTGCAGTGATGAAGCACCATGACCAAAGCCTCTTGAGGAGGAGTGAGTTTGTTTGGCTTACACTTCCACGTCACTGTTAATCATCAAAGGAAGTCAGGACAGCAGGGCAGGGACCTGGAGGCAGGAGTTGATGCGGAGGTCATGGAGGGGTGCTGCTGACTGTCTTGTTCCTCATGGCTTGCTCAGGGAGTACCTGACATCACATCCTAGAGTCCATGCCAGGTGGCTCACAACTTCTTGGAACTCTGGCTCCAGGGATCCAATGCCTCTGGCCTCTACAGGCATGGGGCTCACATGCACGTATCCACACACTGGCATACACAAAATTAAGATTAACCTTAAACCTGGTGGCAGTGACACACATCTTCAATCCCAGCACTCAGGCGGTAGAGGCGGGTGGATCTCTCTGAGTTCAAGGCCAGCCTGGTCTACAGAGTTAGTTTCAGAACAGCTAGGGTAACACAAAAGATGTATCTTTACAAATAATGTAAAGCTCAAAATGATAAAAAGTTTAGAAGAAACAAGTACCCTAAGGAATAGCATCCTAATGGAGTATATATTGTTCCTTACCCCATTTCAGCCTCTGGGCTATGGCCTCAGGTTCCTAGCTGCATCTTGACCTACAGTCTGAGAACAGTGAGAACCCTTGGCTTTGTGTCACAGGTGCAGGTCAGGAGGGAGGGGCTGCTCCGGGCCTCTAGCTCTCCAGAGGGCCTCTAGCTCTCCAGAGGGCCTCTAGCCCCCAATTTAGGGCCCACAGTTGACTCTGTCCTTTACTGCACAGAGGACATAGCCTAGACAATGGCATTTCTCCCGGAGCAGTGGTGAGTACCACCCTTGGGGCAGAAACTAAGCAAGGTTCCTGGCAAGGCTCGAACAGGAAGGGCACCAGGATGCTGCCAGGAGCAGCAGGACATACTGGCTGGCATCTGCAGTCTCTGTCCCCAGGTATCTGTCACTGGCAGCACTGCAATCCAGTAGGAGGCATACCTGAGGTGTGGGCTGCAGGGACCTGCAGCAGAATGGAGTAGACACATCAGGGACAAACTGGCCTTGCAGAAGTGGGGGGGGGGACCTCCTGTGACTCAGGGCTTTCTCTCTACTGTCCACTGTGGAGCCCACTAGCCTTGCGATTTGGAGACGCCCACATCCTACTGGAGAGGAGCAGCCTGGTTTGGGCTGCATAGGTAGGAGCTGCCGAGGCTATGGGGTCTGGCTGGCAGACAGCTTCTTGTGTAGAAGGCCTCTCTCCAGGGTGAGGAGCATCGTAGGAGGAAGGACTGATAGCTTCTGCCCGGCTCACCTCATCACTGGGGTGTCTGACTTTGGTCCACATTGCAGAGCTAAGGGTGAAGTCGGAGTTCTGCAGAGCCCAGGAATGGGAGTTTGTACAAGCCTGGAGCCTTACACCGACCTCTTAGGTAACTCACTGCTGACAGCGGGACCTGAAAACTGAAGACTTCCCCCACAGCCTGGCCACCTCCTTCATCAGCCCTGCTGCCCCCTCCCTGGGACAGACAAAGACGGGAGTTCAGCCTGTGTCCCTTCAGATATCATTCCCTCTGCACCCTGAGACTGAGGGTGGCACGTGGGCTAAGTGAGCCGATTGTGTTGCCAGGCCCAGTGTGTGTACCTAAGCATGTGCCTGGACCTGTGTGTGGGCACAGGCAGCCTCCATTGTTAAAGATGGGTGTTTTCATGCGTGAGTCGTAATTACTGGGTAATGCTTTAAAACCTCTCCTGAAGGAGTGCAAAGCTGGTTTTTTCCCCCTCCTGAAGTCGGGAGTACGTTAAAAGGATTACCATGTAGATTTGATTTTTAGATAACGCTAAAATGGATCCCAAATGGACTTGAGCAGAGGGCTGCCATCTCCCTAATGGAAAGTACATGGCCCGAGGCTCTGCTCCCAGAGCCAGCAGAGGAGGGGCGGGAGGGTCTGCGAAGGGCTGGCTGGCTGGCAGGGTAGAGGGGGCTGGGGAGATAGGAGTGGGAGTCCAGGCCTCATTTGGGGAGCAGGAAATTGTAGATGTACCCCCTTAAAGCCCCTTTACTTCCCTGGGAGGTGTTTTTACCTCCCCTACAGGATTCGGCCCTGTAGAGTCAAAACCACTCCAGCGGGAAGCAAGGGGTTATTTCCGTTCGCCTTACTGGGCAGATGGGGGAACTAAGGGTCAGAGGCTAGACCATTTCGTTTGGACTACCTGGCTACAGCTTGGTCCACCCACAGGCACATGCTGGGATAAGCTTTTCCTAGGTGAAGAAATCTCAGTGATCTCTGCCTTGGTGTCCAGAATCAGGGTCGTAGGAGTCTTCCACAGGCTTTCCACTTCTGTAAGAGTTAGGCAGAGCCCAGGGATCAGAGTTCACACTGTCCCAGAGCCTTGCATAGACCTTTTTTAGGTAACCTATGTGTGGCAGGCCCAGCATGGGTGCAGGGAGGATGGAAATGTAAGGGGTGTAGGAGCACCCTGTGGTATCACTCCTTGTGGCTTCCATTGGGTCCTCAAGTGTGGCCAGGCATGAAGCCCAAGCTTGGAATGAATGCCAACTATCAGGCAGAAGAGCTGGCGTAGATGCTTTAGAACTGGGGTCTGCACTGTCCCTTTTTTGTTTAGGAGGATAACTTAGTGGCTGCAAGCTTTCCCTGGTATGGTGCAGCTACTCACCCGCCTACTGATAGCACCCAAGTACAGAGCCCTGGAAAGGCCAAGCCCGCTACACACCAAGTGAACAAGGATGGCAGTCGTGTTGAGGCTATAATGGCCCTACCTTGAGATCTGAATTAGTATTTATATGAACAGCTCTACTGACTGGGTGCTCCTCCACTGGTCCCAGGGACAGTCTTCTCATCCTTGGAACCCCAGGCCTACCCCCCCCCCCCATTTCCCTACACTTCATCCCTCCCTGTAGGCCAAGCCTTAGAAGGAACTTGTCATGAGGTCTGCTTCATGGGCAGACAGAGCTGAGCTCTGTCAGAGGAGACACAGGCTGACCCCGGGACAGCCATCATCCTGAATACTATCTCTCATTCAGACCAATTAACCTTTAGAGCTGCATTAAGGAAATTAGGCGGTGAACTTCCCAGCTAACAGATGGTCCTACGATGACTGGAGGAGGGAGGGAAAGGGGGTCAACCTCTGCCTGCCTGGGGCAGCTACAGGGCGTCCTCCTCCATGCCCTTACCTGTCCCTTTGGTCCTGTGTTGCCATAGGTCTGAGCTCTCTTCTTGCAGAGAGGGTTTCCCTGACCTAGGGCCTCTCCTCCTCTCCAGCAGAAGTCAGAGGGGTTGGCAGGAGAAACACGGGAGAGGAGCAGATCTTGAAGCTGTCTCTGTCAGTGGTGTACAGTCGTCACAATCACCACCTGAACTTCATGTAGGGGAGAGCATCTGCCCAGAAAGCCGAGGGCCATTCTGACCAGACAGCTATGAATCCAAGGTCTCTAGGAGGCAGCTTCTCCCCTGAAGCCAGAGGACATACATATTCCTTTCTGTAGAAAGGGCAAAGGAGGGAGGTGGCTCAGCAGCTAGGCCTGTAGGTGTGTACAGAGTTGGGGCTGGACGTGGCAGAGATACCTGGGGACGGAACTGAATGATACACCCTGAAACAACATATGTATTGGGGACAGGATAAGGCCAGTGGAAGCAGAGACTCCGGGCCTGTAGGCAGCTGGCCTGTTGGAATGGCAGGCTTTGCTGGCTGTGCCTTAGTCATGGGTAAAGTCTGCCTCTAGCCCACCCTCTGCTCTCTTAAGGGGCTTGTTCTGCAGCAGCCTTCCTTGGGAAATCAGACATTTGGTTTCTGAGGTCTCTTGTGTGGACACCGTGTGCCCTGTTTTTTCCTCAGCTGCTCTTCCCTGTGTTTCTGGGGGAAGGGACCAGGCATGTGTGTCTGTGTGCTCACTTCTGTCCACACCTGCACATCATACTGTGCACAAGGGTGTGTATGAGTGTTCCTGCTAACCTCCCGGCAGGCTCTGCCCTCAGTGACTGCACACTGAGTCTTGCTTGGTACTTGTTGCTCCTTATATGCTGAGAAGCTTTCGAGGGAGCTGCTGGAGGGAGATTCCTAAACAGGGAGGTTGAACCAGGCTTCAGTGGCTCTGGAACCTTCTTCCCTCCTTCCATCCCTTCCTTCCTTCTACTCTCTTTCTCTCTCTCAGACCAGGACAGATAGAAATTTGACTTTGGCTGTGTGTGAGGGGAGCCACACACAGCCCCTCAGCTGATACCCTGAGCCTCCTCCTTTCTTCCCGATGCTACCATTCTGTACTTGTGGGCGGAGGTCCAATGCAGAGTAACCCTTGCACTTCAAGAAATGCTGGAGGTGGGACTCTTGGTGGAACTCGTTCTTAGCTCTAATGTGGCCAACTTTGACTGTGTTAGGAGGACGTAAGTCTGCCTGGATCGGATCACACAGGGCACAGTGGCTGGGAAGGGAAGGGCCCAGCAAGGCCAGCAGCCTCTAGACCTCTTGAGGGGTCTAGACAGGACAAAGGCATGGCATGTTGCTTGAAGGCCAGACTTGGGGACTGGTGAAGAAGTAGGAAGTGAGGACTCCAGGGATCCTCTACTTAGAAGAAGCAGTAGAGAGAAAGACGTACCCGCCCCCCATTCCCTGCAGGAGGGTCTGCCAGAGCTCCAGGTCACTCCCCTGTCCGTCTGTTTTTCCATTACAGGTGTGCCGATGCTCTCCGTCCAACCTAAAGGGAAGCAGAAGGGCTGTGCAGGCTGCAACCGCAAGATCAAGGACAGGTACCTGCTGAAGGCGCTGGACAAGTACTGGCATGAGGACTGTCTCAAGTGTGCCTGCTGTGACTGCCGCCTGGGCGAGGTGGGCTCCACGCTCTACACCAAGGCCAACCTCATCCTGTGCCGGCGTGACTACCTGAGGTGGGTTCTGCTGCCCTGCCCTGAGCACACAGCCCCCATCCTTCCAGTCTGGAGCAACTCGGCCCCAAGCTCTCAACCAGACAACCTGCGGGCACAGCTGTGTGGCTACTCCTTGTTTACCCCTTGTCGGCCCTGTGAGCCACCCCAAAGCAGGCCTATGTCTTTAACTCCTTGGACTTGGCCCCACACTATCCAAGCAGGCACTACTAGCAATTGGACACCAAGATAATCTTCACGTGGGTACCAGCCTGGCTTCAGCCTTACCTATCTCCTATGGGTATCTCGAAGGGGATACCTCAAAGGGGCCTGGAGGAGTGGATGAAATGGCCCAGACTTGCCTGGACCTTTCTCCCTGCTGGCATCTCCTGCCCACCTCTGCCCAGGTGTGCTGGGATTAGGGTCTCAGTGTCTTGGCTAGCAGGGAGTCATACCCTAGGGCAAGGCCAGTACTGCCAATGCTTTTTAAAGACCTGGGTTTGAAGCAGCCCTGGGCATCGAGTTCGAACCTTTTCTCTGTTTATAAATCCCCATTCCCCACCTTGCATTCTTGCCCCTCTGCCACAACCTGGATCCCATCCCCTGGGGCTGCCTTCCCCAATTAACCCTCCCTTAGGCCATGTATGACATCAGCAAGGCTGGAAGGAGGCCATGAAGCAGGGGCCTTGGCTGAGACCCAGCACCTGCATTTGGCTGTCGCTGGCTGCTGTACGGTGGCTGGGCTGCCTTGGGAGGAAGGGAGGCCCGTCACATTAATTAGCAGAATGGGGTGAGAGCTGGTGGGACTTCTGCTCAAGTAAGGACAAGTTGGAGGGGGCAGGGTTATCTAGAACCACCCACCTTCCCTGGAGAGCCTGAGATTTAGCTATCTGCACCTTTCATTTCAATTGTTGCCTTTAGCTTTAGAAACAGATTTTTTTTTTTTTAAGTGATAGTGTTTAGGGTGGAGAGAGGAACTGAGGCTGGGAGGAAAGGTTAAGGATGTGCTTAGAAAGTTAATTCCCAAAGGCATGGAAAGGGGACCTTCAAGTCTGGAGGTTTGGGACATCTACCTGGGTAGTTGAATTAGCAGACTAGGGAGAGGTGACTACAATTGGTGGCCTGCCATCAGGACTGGGAGGAGCATCATGGTGTAGTGTGGCCTTGTCAGGAACTCCAAAGCACCTATGGCATTCTGGGCCCTAGCAGCCATAGGGGCTGGCGGCTTTTGTACCTATGCTCTAGTAGAGGTAAGGAATGACTTCTGGAGGCAGGTAGGCCAGTAAGTTAGGGAGGGGTGACTACCCAGAGCTGGCCCTTTGCAGCAACTCCTCGTGGCAGAAAAGGCCCCCATTGGCAGGCAGATGGTGTGACCCAGCCTTTGTCTGCCTTTATCTGAGCCACCAGGCAGCTCAGGCCAGGGAATAATGGAGCCAAGCTGGTCTGCAGGTGCCTGAGCCCCATCGACAAATCAGGGATTAGAGGCCCCACCACCCGCCTCTCAGCCCCCTTGCACCATTCGCAGCTCACTCAGCAGAAAGGAAGCAAGGCGGAGCTTGCTTTGCTCAGACGATTAGAGTGCCCAACCAAGGGTTGCTATGAATGGGGAGGGAGTGAACTTCCTGTCCCCCTGTTCCCAGAGCTCTGCAGCCAGCAGCGGCAAGGAGGGATGTCCTCCCAAAGAGACCACTGTGCCAGCTTCCCTTGGAACTTACTTTAGGGACAAGTTCAGGGTGAGAAGCATCTTAGGCAGACTGTGCTGGTCTGGCAGCTTCATTTTACAAAAAGATAAACTGAGGTTCCAAGAAGGAAAAGGATGCATAGGTGAGTGACACAGTGAGATTACGGCAGAACACAATTTCATAAAACACCATACCCTTATTTCTGAGGCGTGTCAACTAGACTGGCCTCGAACTCCCTGCCTAGATATGGATTACCTTCCGTTCCTGCTCCTCCTGCCTCTGCCTCCTGAGTGCTAGGATTGTAGACATGGACAATCACACAGGACTCATGTGGTACTGGAGGTGGAAACCAGGGCTTCTCGCATGCTAGGCAAGCGCCCTGACTGAGCTACAGCCCCAGAAAGCACTGCATTTAAGCAAGAAGTCAGTGGCATAGATCACTCTCCCAGAGGAGCCAGGCATGTGCCCCCAGTGAGCTATTTAGCTCGCTGTGAGTCACTCTTATCTTGAATGGGGATGACCTCAGAGGGCTGTGTTGAGATCAAAGGAGGTGATTTTTTTTTTTTTGTAAACTCTTAGCATGTCTCTGAGCTACAGGTTCGGTTACGGTTAAGGTTAGGCATTGTTAAGTGCATAGTCCTGTGAGCGATACATTTTAGTCTTTGACAGTTAGGATAACTAAGGCTCTGGGAGGTTCCAAGTTTCTGCCTGAGGATACACAGCCCATGATGGGCAGATTGCCTCAGAGACTTAGGCTTGTGAGGGTCTGGAGCCTTTGCTTAGGGGCCAACCTTGAGGGAGTCTGGTGGAAACCTGAAATGGGTGTAGAGGGATGCCAGTTTTTTAAGCTTAATCTAGCAGTTGTCCGTGGAATAGGCTCACCTGCTATCCCATGGGCTAGAGAAAAGGGCAGGTCCTTGGGTGGAGGCAGCTCCTTGGCAGGCCCTTGAATCCTCCATGCCCTTCCCCTGGCAGGCTTTTTGGCACCACAGGAAACTGCGCTGCCTGCAGCAAGCTGATCCCAGCTTTCGAGATGGTGATGCGAGCCCGAGACAATGTGTATCACCTTGACTGCTTCGCCTGCCAGCTCTGCAATCAGAGGTGAGTGCCAGGCCATCCGCCAACCCAGCACACTTCCCAGACCCCAGACTGAGGCCTGCTGCTTGGGCCAGGGGTGCTGGAGAGGCATGCATGCAAGTATGGCTTCTTTTGTGTATGTTGCTGAGTATGCATGCTGTCATTGCCATACGTGTGTATGTGTGTATCTACACCCTGTGGTCACATATGGGTGGCAACTTTCTGTATGAACTTAATGATGGCATATGTGTGCATTTTCACACTATGTATATTAAGTAGATGGACATTTGGGGAGGGGTTTTCGTGTCAGGGTCTCATGTATCCCAAGCCACCCTCAAACTTGCTGGATAGCCATGGTTGACCTTAAACTCCCGCCTCTAGCTCCTGAGTGCTGAGATTACAGGCCTGTATTGCCATGCCTGGTGCGTTCATTTCTGGGACTGAACCCAGTTGTGTGCATGCTGAGCAAGCTCTCCACCAACTGAGCTACATTTCCAATCCAACCTCTATTATTTCTGTTTGGTGACAGGGTCTCAAGTAGGCCAATACCTCAAACTTGCAATGTAGCTGTGGATAACTTTGAACTCATGATCCTTCTGCTTCTACCTCCCTGGTTCCGGGAGTGCTGGGATTGTTGGAGTAGGCCACTATGTCCAGTATATATGTGCTTGTGTATGTATTTTAAATGTCTGTGTACACATGGATACTAGTGCATGGGATTGGTGTGTACTTGTTCATGCTCAAGAGTGTGTGTATACTGCGTGTACACAATGAAGTGAGAATGTTTATGCACATGCTTTAAACATGTGTGTACTATCCTGTACCTGTGTGCATGTGTTTTGTGTCTTGTCTAGTGAGAAGGGGTTTCCAGGCCCACAGGGTGAGAGATCTCTTCAGGGAATATCACTCCCTCCTCACTCCACTCCTGTGTACCTGGTTCCAGTTCTCTATTTCTCCTTTGTGAATTTTTGGGTCCCATACACTCTCCCAGTCCTGGGGGAAGCCTTGAGGGATTTAAGGCCTTCACCCCTAGCTTGGAACCTACCACCAACAATCAGGACATCTCCTCAGGGGCCCCCAGGTTAGGTAGGCATTCATACAAACATCCCCAGGTTGAGAGATCCAGAGGCAGCACAGGGGACACTAGGCTGGCCCAGTGCGCTGGCCAGACCGCCTCCTAGCACTGTGAAGTTCCATCGCCACCTGGTGGTTGGACTGAGAGCCAATGCTGGGATTGAGTCCGTGATGCCGGGACTTAAAGTCTCAACCACCAGTAGATAGATATCTTTGAGGAGAAGCTTGAAATCCCTCAACACTTCCTGAGGACAAAGAGACCAAAGTGTGCTCTCCCTTGTGTTGGAGAATAAACTGTGGGCTTGGGTCACACTTTCTTTCGAGGATTCAAGCCCTAAGCTGGGATGGCAAAGGAATTCGTCTCCCTCCCCATTTCTCATCTCTCATTCCCTACCTGTCTCCTCTCTGTCTAGTTCTGGTTCCATGCCCTCTTGTACCTTCTCCGGGACTGTTCTGAGTTATCTGAATTCCTCCTGCACCTCCTTGAGTAACACAATGGTGGGAGGCCCGTGGCTTTACTGTCCGTCCCACCACCCCAGGCTGCAGGGGTCTGTGGAGAGTGGTTGACCAGGCCTGCTCTGATGTTTTTTCCATATCTCTGGAAGATTCCCGGAACTAGCTCATCAGCACCACCACCTCCCCTGCATGTCCCACCTCCTGGTCCCGGCTAGGACCTCCTCTTGCTGGACTTCACCTATAGCCTTTTCTCTCTTGCTTGGATTTTTCTAGATTTTGCGTGGGAGACAAATTCTTTCTGAAGAACAACATGATCTTGTGTCAGATGGACTATGAGGAGGGGCAGCTCAATGGCACCTTTGAATCCCAGGTTCAGTAACGCCCTGCATCTGGCCTCCAGGTCCATCTGTCCGTCCGCCCGCCTGACCACCTGCCTGGCAGGCTGGCCAGCCACTCTGCCTGCGTGGGCTGGCCAGCCGCTGTCCTACAAGTTAGAACGTCATCGTCAATGGGAAGGTGGCTTTTCTCCATCACCACCGCCCATCTCTGTGGGCCCTCCTGGGGCCAGGCTTGGCCTGTACAGTCTGTCTTATGTATATAAATGGGAACATTTATTTTATGAGAAATGTAATGCGATTTTATTACTGGCGTGGATTAAACTTATGAATGTTTCCGGGGACATGACTCTGCATTGTTCACGTGACTGACACAGCTGTACCTCCCCACCTTCTGCCTCTGGTGGGTAGGGCGTGGGGAAGCAGACTCCAGCATGTGCTAGAGGAAAACAAGCTTAGCTTTGGGGATCAGAAGGAAGGGAACAACTTAGAGTGTCCTAGGCACAGGTGAGAACTGGGGTATCTCTTCCCCTCCTACAAAGCATGCATCCTGGTGCTATGCAGAGCCCTAAGAAGGGGGCCAGCATGATGCTTGGTGTTCTTTTAGACTATCCCTCCCTCACTGGAATTGTTAGCAAAGTGACCAGATGGGGACCCAGTTCTGCCATGCTCCACAGTAGAGCCCCAAATCCCAAGCTTCCATAGTGTGGCAGTACCCTCCTAATCCCCCTTCTCTTTCACGGTGACTGACTTGGAACCTAGAATCTTATTCATCAATTAAGAACAATTCTATTTCCCTTCAGCTTATCTATGCAGGCTGGAGACGGTCAGGGAGCCACTCAGCAACCTTCATTCTACTCCAGGTCTTAGTCATTGGAGTTAACCCCAAGGGAAACAGGCATGAGGTTCAATCATTGATGAGACACAGTCCTTGCTCTTGAAGAGTCTGCCAGGGACTTAGAAAGCTGAAGCCTCAGTAAAGGGGGGAGGAGCCAGGAAAACTGGGAGACATAATGCTGCTGGGGAGACCTGAAATGGGCCTGTTCCCTGCAGCAGACAAAGGCCATGATGATTCTTGAGAGTCAGGGACAGAGGACATACTGTCAGACAGACACATGTGCCGATAGGCCAAAGAGACAGGCAGGCGAGCCAGCAGGCAGATAGCCCAGGCCAGAAAACAGCAGGACCTGCAGACAGGCAGACAGTGTGGCGTTTCTATCTGCCTGGCTGAGCTGGGCTCACCGAGAGTAGCAGGGATAATGCCACAGTGCCAGGCACAGGGCCTGGAAGGGAGCAGAGCAGACAATGGATAGCAGTAAGAAGGCTGGCCAGGGCAGGCTGTATGGAGAGGCTCTCCACCAGTCCTTTGCTTCTCTTCCTCGGGGCCTGTTTTCTACCTGGCCATAGCCTAGAAACCAGGATTGGAGGAGCCTGGCTGTGGCCTTCGGCTCTGGCTGCCCCTTCCATAGCTCTGCATCAGCCCCACTCCTCTGGTCTGAAGTGTGGAGATAAGGCCTTCTCTGTGGCCTGGTTTTGTGGCCAGAGGAAGGAATGGTTAGAACCAGAGATCACAGGGTAGGAATTCTCTGTGAAGGAGCTATGCCCATGCATGTGTGAGGAGAGAGAAAGGGAGCACGCGCCAGGGGGTGTTTGTGTATGTGACGTGTGTTAGGTGTGGCTGGGTTGGATGCTGACTGCGCCATCGATAGTGGGCTGGGAAGGAGGTTGAGTAAGTGCAGAGATGGGGGAATTAGAGTCTACGATGAGCAGTTTTCTCCCTCAACTTGAAAAAAAGCAGATCACTTCCCTAGATTGTAGCACAGTTCTCTATACCAGGCCATCTGTGGACCCTTAAGGTCCAGGATGCCTGCCCCAAAGGCCTGACTCCTAACTTCAGAGTTTGCTGTAGATAAAGTTGTAACACAAGTTAATTACATGGTTCTGGAGAGATAACGGAGCCACTCAAATGCCGTTTCTGGGCAATTCCAATTGTTTCCAACAGAGTTACCATATTGCAGCCATGAAATAACATGTCATTCTGCGGTAATTATGTAATTAACTTGTCTCACCACTCTAGGTTGCACAACAATTAATTCACTCACAATAAGATAGACTCCAAATCAGACAGGCGGCGTTTGAAAGCCCCCAGTAGAGGAGTTGGCCTTCTCAGAAGCCCCAGACCTGTTTTGTCCACCCTCAGAGCTTATGGGGTGGGGCTCTCCCAGCTCTGTGTGTTCCAAGCTCACTGTCACGGACCCAATGTATTGCTTTCTTACCACCTTGCCCAGGAAGGAAGAATGATCTGGTTCCTAGGTGAGCCAGGAGACTCAGATCTACACTGTGAAGGCTGTGCTGCCTGGCATGAGCTGGCCTCACCATTCTGGGCACTGCGAGGGCCTGAGTTGGCTGCACCCCACCAGGAAGCCCCCACCAGCCCACGGATGCTCTGAAAGCAAACTCTGCAGGTCTGGCCTTAGCCATGTGAAGCCACTAGGAGAGAGGAGGTAACCAAGACCAAGCACTCTTTCACGGGGCAACTGAGACAGGGCAGCACTGACTGCCGCAGCCTAGGGGTTACGTATCTGGAGGGGATTTGTGCTCTCTGGGGTGACTTAGGAAAAGCCTTGCCTCCCTCACCCCAGCCATTGCTAGGGGAGTTAGTTAAGTGCAGGGTATGAGTTGTCCTACTTTGGTTCCCTTGGGACTGCAACCCACAGATGATTGAGGTTCAGGGACAGAGAGCGCTGAGAACAGCCATTGGGGGCTGCATCAAGTCTCGCCTAGGGCAGGTGACACTTGAACTATGGACTGACTTTGCACTACATTTAAAACCTTTCCTTAGCCAGCCCCAGGTGTGGGAGCGGGCCTCCATCTCCCCTCCCTGTCTTCCTTGGTGGTCTAGTATCAGAAATAATACCACAGGGCTCCTGGGCCTCATGCATGATGGAGACTGTTCTTGTCCCCAGTCCTTCACCTGCAGATCAACCCCAGGGCAGGGCTCAGGAAGGACCGTGACTCCAATCTTGATGCTGCCTGGCATGGAATCTCACATGAGTCTCTCTCCTGACCATGGTAACCTTTCACACAGGAAGCACTGACAAAACCCACATGACATTCCTGTCTGGGGGAGCTCATCTCTATGAAGAGATGATTGCTTTTCTTGACTTCTGCCACCAGAGACCATTCATGGCCAGGCTAACTAAATCAGACACCGAATGATCCCCAGAACTACCAAGTGAGGGCAGGCCCAGGAAAGATGCTTCCTGGCTGCAACTGTTGATCATCCTCAGAGAAAATGCCACAGAGAAAATGGTGCTGGTGAGTCAATATTTAGCTATCTTTTACCTTTAAAACTTGAATTTCCTGAAAATGAATGAATACAGATGAGCTGATATGAAGATAGGTGGGTTCAGAAAAATTATTTGGTCAATCTTGGTTTATCATGAGAGAATAATCATATGAAACACACACACAGACACACAGACACACACACACACACACACACACACACACACACACACACACACACTCATAAAACCAGAAAAGAATTACCTTACTCAGAAAGCACAGTCAGTCTTTATCTTTGCATGAGATCGGGGGCGGGCATTCATATGTTTTAGCCCATCTAGGGTCTTAGTTTCTTGTCCCTGGGGCAGGAAGACAGAGGATTGTCCCACTTTTCAGACTGTTGGTAGCACTAAAGTAGATTATTTTTTGAACTCTTTACATTATTTTTGTCACCCACCAGAAGCCAGCCCATTCCTCCCATGGTTTTGTCTTCAGCTTCATCGCACTCTTGGCCTCTGCCATCACAGTTAGATTCTCTTGGACTCCTAGCTGAGTACCGTGTTAAAATAGTAGGCTCATGTCAGGCTGTTTCTGCCCCTTCGACAGCCTGTATCCCCTTCTTGGAGCTTGGGATGTCCCTTGATGAAGCTCTTTGTACCTGGGTTCCACCTTCTTGACACTCCAGGGTTTGAGTCAGACCCAGCAAGAAGGCAGTTGCTGACCACAGCTGTAGAGGAAGGTCTGGTCCCTACTCTCTGCAGGCTCGGGGAGAAGGGAGACAGGCACTCAGAAATGAAATCAGTCTTTAAACTCTTGTTTTTCTGATCAAACCATGCTTTATTATTTTTCAGAAGCTGTTATATAGCAAATGGGCAAGGGTGAGGGGAGATGTGTCAGGTCTGCTGGAATTCAGGCCTGGAGACCTCCCTAGCTTATAAGTAAATACTGAGGGTCTGTGATTGTTGACTAACAAAGGAAATACTAATTGTCTCTAAAAGCCTGGTGCCTACAGGTCTCACTAGGCTAATGTCCTAGGTCTGGAACTTGCCCTGCAAAGGGGAATGTCTTATTTGTGAACCTAAGATGGCTGTGACTCTTATTCCTGGCGGGGGTGAGGAGGCTGTGTAAACAGGCTGGCATTCAGTTTGTCTCCCCCAGGTGGCCTTTGTTCTGGGCACTACTCCTCCTTGAGAGCTGGTGGAAGCCCTGGGTGAGCTGAGCTTCCTCGGAACGCCCACCTCCCCTCTTTTCAGACCACCCATCCCCCTAGGCTGTGTACCTACCCACTGCTTCCAATGGATGCTATCCAGAGTCTGCTTCTCTGAGATCATGGGTTCTGAGTCCAGCAAAAGCAACTACCCAATTATCCCCCCCCCCCCCCTGAGCCTGGGTTTGGCAGAGAATTCAAGACCACTTGAGAGTCTGGGTCCCTTTGGCTGGCTGTGGTCATTTGTGATGGGGATAGTCCTTTCCTTGTCCCTTCCATCTTTGGCACACAGACTGATTCCAGAAAGGATGTGATCCAGATGGTCTTGCCTGAATGTTAGTGACAGGTTCTGGCCTAAGTCTGCTCTGTAATGGGTCTCTGGTGAGGGACTGGAATTTCCAGGTTTTGTTATATTTTGTCTCCCAGAGGCAGAAGATGCTTGTTAGGGACTAAGGCAGGCTGTGGGTCATACCTCCTGATGTAGTGGGTCTCCCCACTGTATTTTGGTAAGCATAAAAATTCCTGTGGAAGATTCAGAATCTCAAGGCTCCTCTCCTTCTCCTGTCTCAACTTCTGTGCTCATCTGCCAGCCCATGGCATAGGTGAGATCTGAGGCCAGACACAAACAGGACACAGGGATCAGAACAAAGAAATGAGAAAGAATATAAGATGGTGCTTAGCGTGGTGGCGCACACCTGACATCCCAGCATTTAGGGAATAGAGGCAGAAGGGTCCAAAGTTCATTCTCAGCTACATAGTGAGGTCAGGCTAGCCTGGGATGCATGAGACTATGCCTCATAAACACAAAAGAGGGGCTGGGGAAGGAGAAGACTGTGAGGTG